CGCCGCCGCCGCCCGCGCCTCCATCCTCGCCCTGCCGCCTCGGTCGCCGAGCTCCGTCCTCGCCGCCTTCAACCTCCATGCCGGAGCCCACGGCGCGCGTCTCCCGCGCCGGCCGCGACCGCCGCCGCCGCGCTTCACCGGAGCCGCCTGTGTCCTCCGCCCCGTGTAGCCCGAGCTCGCCGCCCGCCGGACCTCCCCGCCTCCTCGCCACCCCGCGCCGGATCCGGCCTCCCGTGCCCTCCGGCGACTCCTCCCCGTCCAACTCCGGCAGCCGTGCCGCCCTGTCTCTGGTGTTCCTTGGAAGCCGTGCCCAATCCAGATCCGGTCAAACGAGGTTGAATTTTCGTCTAAGTCCCCGAATTATTTGCATTCTGGTGCCCTATTCAACATGTCATAACTTGCTGCATACTGCTTCTTTTTGTGCGTGTAATATGTCAAAATGTTCGTTGTGAGATGCTCTACATTTCATTCCATTGTGTCATGTTCATTTAAGTTCATCTTGATGCCTGAATCATTGTTACAAGAGTGCTATATAATGTTGTCTGCTGTCTGTTAACAGAATATGCTCATTTTTCATTTTTGTTGCATTTGATGTGTGCATCCTATGGGCATGAGCTCTACATGTGTTTTGTACTACATAATGCCATCTTTACAGGGGTGTACTTCATGTATTTTTGTGAGTTGTGTAGTGAGTGCATCAAGCTTGTTAAGTAGGGTACTTGCTGTTACTGTTTTGCTAGGCTGATTCTGTTATATTTTGTTGCCATGTAAGCTTGCTGCTACAAGTCATTCTATGCATAATCTGGAGATGTGCACTAAGGATGTTTTGTTATACATGTCATGATCTATCCATCCATGCCCCTGGTTGCATTTATAGCCTGCTGTAGCTTGTTTTAATCTTGCTCTCAACTTGCTAAATAATGTTGCTGTCAGCTTGTTATCATTAAGTTCAGTTTTGCCATGCGTGTTGCTAGTGATCCATGCACCCTATGAACTTGTTCTTGCCATGTTTAGCTTCATAAACATGTATTCTTACTGTTGGTCACCTTTTCATGCCATGTAATGCTCTGTGGTGAGTGGTACAAGCTCACCAACCTGCCTACTTATCGTTGTTCCTGCCATGTTTGAATCTGTCATATCATTTGCCATGTTTACATGGGTGCCATCATATCTTCTGATCCTTTTTGGCTCATGGTCAGTAAGGGACTTTTGTTCTATGAAATTACTAGATTCATGCCATGCCTTTGTTTGCCATGTTAAGTTCTTGTAACATGTTGTTTGATAGCTCTAAACATTGCAACCTGATGTTATTTCTGCAAAGTCTGAAACTGTTATTATATGCAATCTTGCCATGTGTTTTTGACCATGTTCTAGTGATTTCTGGAGATAGCTCAGTGTTCATGTTTTGTTATGCTTTACCTGTAAATCATGTCCATGCCTTTTGTTCTCATGTTGGGGTGCTTTAGCATGTTGTTTTGAT